CTTTGCAGATGATGCGCACTTGTCCATTACAGACCAGCCCCACTATCAGTTCCAAACTCAATTGGTTCACGATAGGTAAGAATATCTATTACCACTACCTGTTGTCAGAATGGTATAGATCTAGACAAAGTGAACTTACACCTTTTTGGTGGTAGTTACTATCATACCTTATAGACATCTCAGGGTCACTATATTCTACAAATTTGTGATCTTCAACGTACATAGTTTATACGCACCCTATAATATTCATTCCCGGAATTGAACCGGTAAATCCCATAAATTAAATTATTACGATCTGCCTTGGCCAGGAGCTGAACTAGGGTCTATTGCAGTGTAACCTACAATAGGTTTCAGTTGTTACCAACTGAGATAGGGCGGCGAGACCCTTGTCGAAATCATTTTGACCATTGGAAGCTAAAGTCACGAAATAGTCAAAATGATGTCATATCACATGATTTTTTATATTTAGAAAAAATAAAAAACAAAAGATATACAATCTCAGTCAATATTGCTCTGATTCGTATAAAATAACTACCATTCGATTCTTCGAAACTAGGCGGATCTAATGAGCTAATATCTATTGATTTTGGATCATCCAATCACGAGATAGATGCAATTGTATTATCAGCCGAAATTATAAATCAATAAATTCTACTTTAAATAAAGAAGTTCAGATTTTGAAATACGATCGCATATATCTCGAGATGGGATGATCCAAAATCAATTAATGTTAGCTCATTGGATTCATCTAGTTATGAGGAATCGAATAGTAGTTGTTTTATACGAATCGGAGTGATATTGACCGAGATCATACATTTTTTTTTTTATAAATAAAAAATCATGTGATATGATGTAATTTTGACTATTTCGACTTTTCATTTTGACTTTGACCTTCAAAGTCAAAACATTTCAACTTTTTGGGTTTTCATTTCAACTTCATGTATAGTAAAACCAATGGAAAAAGGACTAAGAATAGCCTCAAGTATTATGAGAAATTCAAAAAAACAATTCTGAAAAATACTAGGTAAAGATTAGTTGATTAGAGGAAGAAATATTTATGAGAAGATATACTAATTCCTAATACTTTATTTTACTATAGTGACTGATTATGATCGGCTTTATAAACAAAATATTGCAAGAAAACATCAAACCCACTACCGCCATATGAAGAAAATGAAGGTTCTACCTCATAAGTATTACCAATATACTTGTAATGATAGGAATAATTATATTTAGCTATTAGTATTTTTTGCTGTAGTTATTTTATATATTGCTAGAAATCACCTAATACTTGTATAATGTAAATACAAATATAATAAACATAATATCATTATTTTTAAAGAAAATTAGCTGAGAGGCGCTTTACATGAATTAGCTTGAGTATTTTTTTCTTTGCATTTTTGCCTCATCTCTATCTCTTTCCGCAGGTTCATGATATGTCAAAACTTAGCTGAATTGCAAGAAAATCATCCTCAGGCTTAACCAAATCAAATACAATGAATTCTTCCTTTCAAAGGTAGCTATGACCAGGTCTTCAAAAGAGAGTGGTGAGAAAGTCACCCAATTATCAAATTTAGTAGCTTTTTTAAAAAATATAATTCCTGATATGAAAAAAGCCATTGCATCAGCTGAAAAATCCATTGATATGTTAGAGAATAAATGTCAGTATCTGGAGGATATTATTTCTGCTAAGGATAGGAAAATTATCACTCTTGTTGATCAGATCTCTTCGTATGCAAGATAAAGTGATATAACTATAGAACCAAAAATATATTCCAGCATTTATGAAAGAAAATTATGGATGGGGAGGCGTAGTAAGTCTGAATATAATCTAGGAATCCAGAAAAAATATACTTTAATCTCACTTCATCAATAGCCTTGAGGGAGTGCTAAGCTGAAAGAAATTCTACTCAGCCTATTAATTAGAATTACCTTAAGTATTATAATTCGAAATGGGAATCAAATATACATTAAAATATGCGAATGAATTAGCCATAAAAAGAGGGGGTATATGCCTCTTAGAAGAGTATATTAATTGCCAAACACTCATGAAATGGAAATGAGCGAAAGGTTATAAGTGGCAAGCAAGATTTCCCAAATCAAAATTGGTAAAATTGGTGTCCATATTGTGCAGGAAATGCATCTTATACTATCAAAGAAGCTAGGCAGATAACTCATAGCAAAAATGGGCAATGTCTATCTGAAAAATATGTCAATTCCAGTTCTCCACTTTTATGGAAATGTGCTAAAAGTCATGAATGGTATAAATCACTTATGTAAAAAATCGTAATGCATGCCACAAAATAACACAAAATTTAGAACCAGCTAGGGATTTCGCACTTAGTAAAGAAGGGATATGTTTATCAGAAAAATATATTAATAACAAAATGAAAATGCGCCAAAGATCATGAATGGCAAGCATCATTTAATAATGTAAAAAATAATAACACTTGGTGTTCCTATTGTGCAAAGCGTGGATTGAAACATATTATAGAATTTGCAAAAAGTTTAGCACATGAGAAGAATGGCAATTGTCTCTCAGAAAAATATATTGATACCAACCAACCATTATTGTGAGGATGTGCGAAGTGTCATGAATGGAAAGCCAGTTTACATAGCATATAGCGTGGTAGTTGGTGTCCAATATGTGAAGATAATTCCTTAAAACTTGATTTCCAAATTGCAAAAGATCTGGCTTTTAATATAACTATGGCTTTGTACAAGGCGTACAACATGAAAAATATCATGAATCCTTTCATAGAGGAGACCCAAATAATTTCATGAAACAGCAAGCACAGGATCAACTCAAGAAAGAATTATGCGAAAAGAACCAGATTGCATTAAGGTATGTTTGGTATTACGAGGACCCATACATAGTCATTCCAAACCATCTTCGAGGGTTGGGTCTCATTTGAATAAACTCAAACTTTAAATGCTCTATTATTACACATGCATTATTTTTATCATTATTTTTTCGTTATACGTTAAAATAATTTATTATGTAGATTTATTCCCGCATCATTTATTAGAATATATCACGCAAGCATAACCCAAAGTCATACCGAAAAAAGATCTATAAGTCATTTTTATGTATCCACAACATAAATCATATTTGTTTGTTTTTTGGTGTTGCGTCAATCGCAGTTGTTATTCGCCGTGGTCGTCGTGTTATTCTGATGCTTGAAATCTCTTTAATTCGAGTGTTTAATTTTTCAACACGAGCCTACTCATGAAATATCACGGTTAGGAAATATCCGTTAATGATAATATTACCAATAAACAACTTACCCTAAATGTCAACAATCTTTCTATAATTTCCCTTACCATATACAATTGTATAGGAGTATCAGGTATTATAAAAGAAACGTTAATTTCGTCTACCAAATATGTTCCATTACGATGATACATAGTGTAGAAACAGAAATCTTTTTCTATAAAAAATGTAGCTTAGAAAGGACAGTTCAGTAATAAAAATTACACAATAAAATTTGACTTACTATCCACGAGAATTCCGAAAATTTCTAAACTGTCGGCTATTTTTTCATCTTTTTTATCGACAATTCCGTCGTTACATAAAGTTTTCTGAAGCTCATGAAAAGCCAAACGCATTGCCTTTAACATTTTCTTCTGGTCCCCCAGAAATTTAGTATTATCAGTTACCACAGCATTTCCAGCAACTTCTAAAATCCCTACATATACTTCGTTTCCATTAATATTGATTGAGAGTATACCATCGTGATACCATCCGACAGACTTTCGATCACCAGGATCCTTTGACAAATCAAGTTGCACTTTTCGATGTTTGTTTTCTACTTCGCCACTAATGGAAACACATAATTTAACAATGTTAGTATTTTTCCTATTGTGCACCTAATATTCGGATTTGAAAATAAAATATATTTAAATATATACGTTTTCATTTTTATTGTTGCCGAATCTAAAAAAATATCCTCGCATAAGGTATTTACGAACCAACTTCGATACTGGTACTCACTTGTGGATCTGTCGTTAAGAACATTTTTAGGTATGTGAAAGCATGTCAAGCTTTCAAGCAAGAAGTTAAAATAAATTAATATAATAATCTATAATTATGACTGTAAATAACAACTCACAATTTTTGGTAGACGTTATCTATCCATCTTTCAAGCCAATTTCTTCTAAATTTATATCCATTCGGATAATCGTAAATAACATCAATTCTATCTAAATCGATGTATTCGTCCTCGCTTGCATTTATTATGGCTTCCTGGTACCTATTTAGAATAGTTTCTACTTTACTAAGTGATGGGAAGACCTTTTTTGCGATTTCTTCCTCTTTCTACAATGCACGAAATATAACATTAGATATCACCAATATTGCATACATAATATTAATATAAAAAATCCATTACTTTAAAAAAGAATTCCTCAAAACCTGACCATTCGTCATCAGTAAACTTGGACCTTAATTGATCATTTCTGTTACATTCAGGTAAAAAAATTATGTTGTATCTCGCAATTCCATTTTTAACTTCATCTAGTTTTTTTGTTATCCAACTATCTTCAATATGCTAAAAAAATTCCAATAATTAATATTACATGATAGCCAAAATATTTACATGGAGTTTATAATCAAAGATAACGAACATCAAGAGGTAGAAGTTCCTCTGTCTCATCAACATCATCATCATATTCAAGACCGTTGTGTTGAGCCTGTGTAAATTGAGGAGTCGGAGAAATTGGAGTGGTAATATGAGGATGAGTTACAACACGTGGAGAGTTGAGAGTCTCATCATTTTCGATCTTCTCTTGTGATTCTTGCTTGTCTTCCTCTCGACTCTATTCAAGTTCAAGAGATAACAATTATTTATAAAATACAAAAAATACTGCAGATCTTACAGTGAAAAATTTCAACGAAAATAAAACAATATGGATTTAAGTACAAACCAATTCAGGTTCTTCGTGACGAATTCGTTTTTCATCAGACGACGAAGATTCTTCCCCTATTCGTTTTTTGCACAAGAAGTCGGAGTAATTACGTTCCGAAAATATTGTTGAATCGAGTAACCGAATTCTCTCGACAATATTCTTTTCAAGGTGCTTGTCAAGGTTAAGTTGATAGAAATCATTATACAACTTCTCACAGTTTTTCCGTACAGCAGATCCCTCGAAAGTTTCACAGATATCAAGCAACTCTTTGCAGAACGAAGTTATACAGGTTGGGATTTTTTTAATATAATTTTGTAAAATAAAATTCAGTGATGCTTGCCAGTCATCGTAAACATTGAACCATGGTGAAATTGTGTCATCGTTTTTTAAACGAAAACTTAAGTAATGTTTCAATTGCCAAAATTTGGCATCTACCACCTTAAAGTATATATAGATATTATGTTCTTCAGAAGCTCTAAAATCCAAGTATTTATTACTTCTAAGTACTGCTGTCATGATCGCAAGTCGCGAACTTTAGTGATCAGTAGAACGCGTTTTCAGTGATTAATTACTATCACGTGAGAGTTCCTTTTAGTATTGATCTTCAGGCACGATATTTTTAATAATCAGATAACTGATAACATGATAACAAAATTTCTTTGTGCGCGCGCACTCCGCACATTGAATTTCAAACACTGAGTCTGTGAGTGAGTCAGGAGTCAGTACCACAGAGTAAATTTAGAGGGTACAACTATGCCGAAGTTTCTCGTGTCTGTTCCAGTCCTTGGCGGCGAGGACTTCCCTTGCTTACCAAGGAGACGCCATAGCTTCATGTCTGTTCCAGTCCTTGGCGGTGAAGTATGAGTTGTTTGATGACTAACAACTGTTCGTGTCTGTTCCAGTCCTTGGCGGCGGCAGTTGATCCGATGACTTTGCTGAATTTACTCGTGTCTGATCCAGTCCTTGGCGGCGAGTGATTCCCTTGCTATATATTACCAAGGAGACGCCATAGCTTCATGTCTGTTCCAGTCCTTGGCGGTGAAGTTATGAGTCAGAAGGTATCCAAGTTATTTCTTGGTGGTCATCAGCCTCTTAAAGCAAAATCTGAAGCATACATTTTACAAACACAACCATATCTAAGAATTAGAAACCTGATTTGTGCGAAATTTTATTAATTTTTTAGATACATGGCTAACCAGAAAATGCTAGAGAAACAAATAAATAAGTGATGCTATCAAAGAGGCCATTTAATGCGAGTCCCAGCATCAAGTTATTTCACAATTTTTTGAAAAATATCTATAACTAATTTACTTCTATCACTATTGCTATATGAGAATTTCTTTTACTACACTCCACCCACACAGGTTTTATAAAAAGCTTCGATCTTAACCAAGCTTCGAAGAGAATTTTACCGAGATTAAAAAATTTCGAATCTATAGCATAAATTCTAGAGATTAGCAACTGAGGTAAATAAACAATGCAATATTCTGATTCACACTTACCGCTATACTTCATTTTCACAATATTCCATTCTGCCTTATATACAAGGAATTAATTGCTTGAGTTATCGCCGGGACGATACTGCGCGAAGATTCAAGAAATTCGGCGTAAAGATATAACATTTGATATACTGCGCCGGATTTCGTGGCATGTAATTAAAATCAGGTGAAATTTGCAAAGCCACAAAAATAACACTGCGCCAAGGAGGCACATATTAATGATCACGATTTTCTTAGCGATCAAAAAGATCAAGAATGGTAATATATCCGCTGTGACTTTGTACATCTATAAAGCTGGAAAAAATGATTAACATCGTGATGACATGTCTCAAGAAGCTAGCCGAGCAATAAAATCAACATACCTTATATTACTTTACGGAATATACTCGTTTGTTTGATTGGATGATAAGATAATATCGAAGATGTAAATTATGGTAAGTTGAATCTATCGCTTAATTTTTCGTTTTTTTTTTATTTGCACAAGGCAGATGGGACATCACCTTTTTATATAATTCACAGGATCGATTTTGTTATACGCTTTTGGGGGGGGGGGGAATTATGTTAATATGATCGCATCACGAAAATCTGATCAACCACGCTATCCATATGTAAAGATCATCAAGGGTCGGGCCCTTTTTAATAATAATATATGTAATAATTTTGAGAATAACCCTGGATCTTCGCTGGCAATCTTATTGCCTAATAATTTACTGATCCAGATTTCATAAATTACCCTGTATTAATATGCCTATACGCCTCCTTCGGTCGAGCAATAAAAATTAGTATGTAAAGTCTAAAAGATTACTACCAATCGTCACGAGAAAAATATTTGACTACATTGCTCGAGTCATTAGTACCCTAAATGTTTTTTATTGCAATACATTAGGCTAAAATAAATTACATGATGCAGGACTGCCTAACGGGTACATGACAAAATTCTATTACTTTAGACTATTATACATGATTATTTTTTCAGACGTAGCCTGCCATATGCAGCAGGGTGGACATACTTATATCACATGTCGATCATTTTGCCGATCATATTTTGTATTATCACATCAGCGTTTG